AAGCCCAACACCGGCAACAGAGTGAACCACGCTGGCCTGCGGGCCCCATAATGGCCTCAGTAGACCCATGCTATGGCTGACCTCATACCCCCCCCCCCGCCGGCTCTTCGGAGTCTTTGAGTCAGTCTGAGGACCCTATACCGCTCTCGAACGCACGCCGGTCCCTAGAACCCCATGATGCCCCCTGAGGGTCCCACGCCGGCCTTTATAAGGGCCACTCCTACCTCAAGGGGCCCAAACATGCATAAGATCTGAAAAGTGGTTGCCGAGGCCCTCGAGGTGGCCTCTAATGGCCCGACGCCAGCCTATGAAGGCCCGCGCTGGCTTCTGAGGGCCCAGCACCAGTCTCTGAAGTCTGAAGTCAGATGACAGATGGCCCCACGCTGGCCGCAGATGGTTCACGCTGGTCACAGAGTGCCCAACACTGGCCTAAAGGGGCTCCGCATTGTCTTCGGAGGGCCCCAAGCTAGTCTCGGTGGCCAATGGGCCTCAATCTGACCTAAGAAAGCCCCATGTCGCTGGGCTACCCCACGCTGGACATAGACGGCCCCATGCTGGACATAGATGGCAAACACTGGCCTTACAAGGCCTCACACTGGCCTTAGAAGGCCCCACATTGGCCTTAGAAGACCCCACAATGGCCTTAGAGGGCCCACGCTGGCCTTAGAGGGCTGAGCGCTGGCTCCTTAAGGCTCTACACCAGCCTCAAAGGATCCCACGCTTAAGTATATGTAAGCTCTGCTTCTTTATGGCCGCCAAAGCGACCTCTGAGGGCCCACGCTAGCCTCTGGGGGCTCGACCTTGGCCTCTGAGGGCCTATGAGCGCCATCAAATGGCATTTTAACCCTCGCCCATGTAGGGGGGGTTAGTGCAACCCCCCCCTCTGAGGCTTTTCGGAAATAGTGCAAAAACGGCGGCGCGCAGCGCCGCCAAATTTTGGGTACCTTATGGGGCAAACCTTGCGCATCTTTTGATAAAAAAAAAATTGACCGGGTCATGTCAGGTCACGGAGTTATGACGTCACAAAGGGAACAGCCTCCGGCCGGATTTTCACAAACTGAGTGCCAACGCCCGAGGTTTCCTGCCGGTGGTACGGACATCGGTTGATGGATCGTGATGAAACTTCCCATGCATGTTGGGGCAAGTATTGGCTATCATATGGTATAAGAAACTTGACCGGGTCAGGTCAGGTCACGGAGCTATGACGTCACAAGAGGAACAGCGTCCGGTACTATTTTTGAAAAGCGCCCGAACCACTATTTTGCTAATTCTTGTCACCTCAATGGGAATATGCAGCAATAGTAGCTTCTATAGGGAGCAAATGGACCTCCCAAATCCAAAAATACAATCAGATTTCAAAAATTTAAATTTTGATTTTTCGAATTTCTGCCGCCGACTGTGACCGTGCCGATTTACGGCGCTCCCAACGCGCCATTTTTAGAGCTAGGGAAACGAAATACATACCAAACGATAGAGAATTGATCAAGGGACACGATAGTGAAGGTTTCAAGTCGATATCTCCCACCGTTTTGCCGCAATCGCCGCGGAAAGTTGAAAAAGTCTATTTTTTTCGAAAATTTGACCTTTGACCGGTCAAAAGTAGGTCAAATGTTGACCTCGGACCAAAAAATATACCACCAATCGCGAGATCTCGGCGAGAGCAATCCGTTGGTCTTTTCCGCTAAGCTCTACGACGCTCCGTTTTCAAACGCCAAGGGGGGGTCGCACCAACCCCCCCCCCCTGCATGGGCGAAGGTGGCAGATCGCCGTTTACGGGCGAGGGTTAAGATAGTTTGACGCAGTTTGACTTTAGTTATGCTGGGGCCAGTACTTTGGATGAGGCCCTGAAGATATCGTTTCTCTTGGGACACTCAAGCAGGCACGTAGTACGTACCCAGGATTTCGCCCAGGAGGGGGCCGCCTGCTCTCAAAGGGGCCCACGGGTCACCCGGATGCCGCTGTCAACCCAGGCAGGGGCGTTTCCAGAACCTTTCGATGAGGGGATTGGGCACAGTGGGTCCGGTCCCCCTTGCAGACGGGCCTCTCTGTCCGTCTGTCTGCCTGTCTGTCTAAGTCCTGAGAAAATGTGCAAAATTGGCAGGTAAAAATATCATTTCTTGCTTGAGAAGTATGCATAAAATGCACGGTATTTTATGAGGAAGTGAAGCGAGCGAGCGCCTCAGAGTCACCTGTGTTAGTCCCTCAGAGGTGTCGGTAAAAGGCTATCAGATGCGCTGGTGTGGGGTCCTCACAGGCGCCGTTCTGAGGGCCTTGGGGCTTAGAGACACTGGTGGGGGCCATCACTTAGGCGTGTGTGGGGCCCTGAAAGTTACTGGTGGCCCTTCATAGGCCGGCAAGGGACCCTCAGAGGTCGGTAAGAAGCCCTCAGAGTCGGTGTGGGGGCTCTCAGAGCCGCCGAAGTAGGCCCTTAAAAGGCACTGGTGAGTGGTGTGGGGCCCTTAGAGGTGGCAGTGGAGGCCCTCGCAGGCGCCGTTGTGAGGACCCTCAGAAACACCGGTGTGGGCCGTGGGGCCATAGCAAACGGGTATGAGGCCCTTACAGCTGATCTCTCATTAGCCTTCAAGGACCCTCAGAGGCCGGCAAGGTCCCTCAGAACCTGGCGTGAGGCCCCTCTGGAGATAAGTGTGGCTACAGAAAAGCCCATGGGGTGTTCTCACAAGTCACAAGCCCTGTGGTCTCCTTTCCAGTTGAAGCGTTGCCAGCGCGGGCCCTCTGCCGCCAATTGGCACCGCAGGTCCTCTCGGGCCCGAGGGGACCCTAAACCCTATAACGGACACGTGCCCCCTCGCCCCTGGCCATACCATTGAATCCAAGTGATCACGGGCCGTTCAGGTAATCAGGGGCCTCTCAGATGACCAGGGGCCTTTCAATTGACCAGGGCCTTTCAATTGACCAGGGGACCCTCTGATAACCAGGGGACGGTTATACTAGGGGCTTCACGGGTAACTAAGGGCCTTAATGTGACTGCAAGGGCCCTTCATATAACCAGGTACTCCTGGGGTAAACATGAGCCCTTCAGGTGACCAGGGTTTCTTCAGACCACTGGCCAGGGGTCACCCAGGGGATCAGGGGCCCCTCAGGTAGCTAGGGGCCCTTAAGATAGCTAGGGGCCCCTCAGGTAACCAGGGACCCCTCAGATAACCAGGGGTCCCTCATATAACAAGAGGCCCCACTGGTAACCAGGGGCCTCTCAGAAAATCAGGGGCTCTCAGGCAATCACGAGCCCCTTAGGTAATCAGGGGCCCCTCAGGTAAGCAGGGGCATCTCAGGAAACCAGGGGCCCCCCAGGTAACCATGGGCCCCTCAGATAACAAGGGCCACTCAGGTTACCAGGGCCCCCGTAGCCAGGGGCCCCTCAGGTAACCAGGAGTCCTTCAGATAACCAGGGACCAATCAGGTAGCCAGGGTCCCCTCAGATAACCAGGGGCCCCTCAGATAACCATGGGCCCCTCAGATAACCAGGGGCCACTCAGGTAACCAGGGGCCCCTCAGCTAATCAGGGACCCTCAGGTAACCAGGGCGCCCCTCAGGGCCCCCATGGCCCCCCTTGGGTACGTCACTGTACTCAAGTGACCCAAAGGGCCCACTTGCATGTTTGATGCCAAAGGGGGAGGCCATGGCCTCTTGGCCTCCCCCCTGGATACGCCACTGATGCCAACGGCTGCGGAGGACAGGGGAACGCGTCCGTCCATCAGTTAACAGTTTGAGTTTTTGGACGGGAGTCTCCCTGAAATTTTAGCCAATTTTGTTTTCGTTTTTGTCTCGATTTTTTTTTTTACCTCTGAGCATGCTGCGAAAACAAAGTGGCCGAAATCCGAGGAGAAATTGGATTTCGGGGGTAGGTTAGGTGTTGGACCTCTGGGACCCTGCCCCCCCACACTTTCGAAAACGTTCCTACGCCTATGGAGGCCAGCATGATGTTTTCCGACCAGTACAAGCTCGTGGAGTGCTCCTGGCGGCCATCCGTCTTGTTCGCCTGCTCTGGTAGGCGCCGACGAGTGGTGATCAGATGGTGCCGACATGCGTCAGCCGCCGCGCGCCGGGCCAGCAGCTCCTCACAGGCAGGTCGGCCGCCGAGCTCTAGAGGCGGTCGGCGGTGACGGTCCGTCCGGCCGCTGTTCTGGAACGGCCCGACCAGATGATGGACCACGCTTGACGCTCCAGTGATGTGGAGTTTGGGGTCCGGTTCTTTGGCTTTGCCCGCGTACGGTGCATGTTCAGAATCAGGACTAACCAGGACCTGGCGTCCACCACGTCCCGGAACAGCAGGCTGTTCTAGTCCGGCTTGTTAAGCATTTCACAATGTTTTGCTCTTATTTGCCATGGGAGATCACAAGCATGCAGTAGGAGCTTTTGCTTTACAAATATGCTTGATTCAATATCTTTTTTTTTTGTACCTATGTTATTTCCTGATGGCAAATAGAGCGAAAGAGAGAAATGCTTATTCTGCTACTCTGCTGAAATAATAAAGCGGTATCTGCTAACTACTGGGGCATTGAAGTATGAGAGATTTCCCAGCCCTGGCCGCAGGTCATCTGTGGTTGTCTGTGTCCTGTGCCGCCCTGTGCCGCAGGTCGGCTGTGGTTCTCTTTGTCCTGTGCCGCAGGTCGGCTATGGTTACACCTGTGTCCTGTGCCGCAGGTCGGCTGTGGTTCTCTCTGTCCTGTGCCGCAGGTCGGCTGTGGTTCTCTCTGTCCTGTGCCGCAGGTCGGCTGTGGTTCTCTCTGTCCTGTGCCGCAGGTCGGCTATGGTTACACCTGTGTCCTGTGCCGCAGGTCGGCTATGGTTACACCTGTGTCCTGTGCCGCAGGTCGGCTGTGGTTCTCTCTGTCCTGTGCCGCAGGTCGGCTGTGGTTACACCTGTGTCCTGTGCCGCAGGTTGGCTGTGGTTCTCTCTGTCCTGTGCCGCAGGTCGGCTGTGGTTCTCTCTGTCCTGTGCCGCAGGTCGGCTATGGTTACACCTGTGTCCTGTGCCGCAGGTCGGCTGTGGTTCTCTGTGTCCTACACCGCCTCAGAAGAGAAGCTCACCGTCACCATCATCAGGGCCAAGAAACTGCCGCAGAGAAGTCGAGATGAGCCGGACTCCTGTGACCCGGTCATCAGGTGAGGCCAGAGCATGGCCCGGTCATCAGGTGAGGTCAGAGCAGGGCCCGGTCATCAGGTGAGGTCAGAGCAGGGCCCGGTCATCAGGTGAGGTCAGAGCAGGGCCCGGTCATCAGGTGAGGTCAGAGCAGGGCCCGGTCATCAGGTGAGGTCAGAGCAGGGCCCGGTCATCAGGTGAGGTCAGAGCAGGGCCCGGTCATCAGGTGAGGTCAGAGCAGGGCCCGGTCATCAGGTGAGGTCAGAGCAGGGCCCGGTCAGACCACAGATCCTCGGTGCAAACTGACGACACCAGACCAGAGCGAGTGTTGACCCCGCACTTATAGGGGGGGGGGGGGGGGAGGGGGGTCAACCGGCGAAACGAACAAGCGCGGACGTACGGTTCTCCAGGGTCGTTAGTCGTTACTCGTTGGTCGCTCGGCCAGCGGGAGGGCAACCAGTTCCGCCCCTGTATCGCGTGGCCCCTTGCTCCGCCCAGTTACGCACGAGCGTACTCCACGCCGCGTAGTAGCGTGGGGAGGGGAGGGTTAGAATGGTGGCATGTATAGAGGCTAGAACCAGTTTCCACCGCCATGCCACCGCCCAGCGACATGGAGCGGGTTCAATGACCAGGGCACGGGGAAAGGTCAGAGGTCAGCTATAACGTAGAGCTTTGTGTCTCCCTCCCCTCTGCGTGTAACGACCGCACGACAGCGGCCGGCGGCCGATCAGGCTTGACATGTCAAGGTCACCTGCAGTCAACGGGCTTGGAGAGTTGGTCGAGTGTGCGTCCGCGGCTGACGACAGTCTCGACCATTGTCTATTTGCTGCGAGAGCTGAAATTCTGCAAACCTGACCTTTGATTCCAGCCGACTTTGTATGACAGCAGCTGTATTTTAACCAAGGCTATAGAACTCCAGGTAAGGACACCAGCCGTTTGACCTTGAACACCGCCGGCCGGCCGATGACGTCATTGGAGGCAAGCCGGCTCGCCGGACACATAAGGCGAATGCATAACGGAGGGGCGTTGGAACGTTGCGGGAGCCGGGGAGATATTTTACCACCATTGTTATGTTGATTGATCTGCAGACTGCATTCTTTTAAACCTCGATGCATCCTAGGCCTGGATGGTGCGTACATTCGTGGAACGATCACCCCTTCCGACGTCCGTGGTCGAAGCTGTCTATGTATCTAAAGACACTAAGACGGGTGCAATAACGGCGACCCGATCCCGTCTGGCGAATCTAGAGGGGTCGTAAGGACCCAGGACCCATAAGGACCCAGGCCGAATCTTACCGTCTATTTTTAGGGAAAAGGGGTGGGTGAATTGACAACCGATGGTTTAAGAGATGATGAGAAGGGATCCCATCGTCGATTGTTGTTTGACAGACAACACATGTTGTACTGGGCGTATAACCATCAGAGGTAATGCCTGAACGTAGGCAAGCATAATTGGTCTGTCAAATTGTTTAGGAATATAAAATCGTAATGGAGATCATTGAGGATATGATCTCTACATTACGGGAATTCACTAATTACTACGGCCCATAGGGGCACCGCCGGAGCTGTTATTTTACCATCGGTCCCAGGCAACTCCAGGGAGCTGCAGTACCCGGCGGCCAAAGCGGCCACCTCGTCGACTCGCAGGTCCTGTGGGATTCCGTGATGCTTCAGTGCTTCACCCACAGAAGCACGGGTATAGCAGTAGGATGTGGGCCGTTAGGTGTCTGTCCGCCTCTTCATTGTAGGTACAACGTATACAGCGCCTGGTCCCGCCGAAGCTCGGTATCGACCGTGACTTATTCACAACTGGCTGATCCAGGAAGCGGTCTTGGTCACTGCGGGGGCTTACCCCAAAAAGGTTTCTCCGAATTAATTTAAAAACCCCTGATTTTGATTCCTTGCGCACTGCTGTGCTGTGCAGTGTGATTAACCAACATTTCCTCAGAAAAGTTGTGAAGTTTTCTTTTATTCTCGAAAAGCGATTTCGGGCGCTGCCCCGGAATTGTGGGGGAAGACATTTGCCCCAAATGCCTTCCCCTGGATCCGCCAGTGGGTTGCCACACCCCGAGTTTGACTAAAAACGTCTTCAAACCCCACCAGAAACCGATGGTAAGGTGAATTTAAATCCAATAACTCATCTCTGTCTGCCCGCCTAAACATACTACACAGTTGACAGTACACATGGTACGGCACCCGGCCCTGTCGGAGTTTTGAGCTGACATTTTCGGCTTTCCCCATCCCAAGCTCCATTAGAAACGCCCTCCATCCCCACCCGATTGCTGATGTCAATTCAAATTCAATACCTCATCTCTGTCTGCCCGCCCATAACCCATTCATTGCACACCGTTCAGCGCCCGGTCCCGCCAGAAGTATCCTAGCGCGCTGAGCAGTTGCCTCCAGCCGCGTCATCGCGAGGCCCCGCGCGGCCCATAACTGAATACATTGCGCGAATAGCCGTGTCGCCCCCCCCCCTGATTTTAACCCTCGCGCATATTGGTGTTTTGCCAGCGTCTAGCGTAAAGGGGAGGGGGTCCGTTGGACCCCTTTGCCGTTCAGCCCCTGATCGAGCTAGAGCTTCGCGGAAAAAGAGCGTGTTGCCCGTGACGAAAGGAGGCCGTTGATACCCAAGTTTAAGGTCCTAGGTCATTTGTTGATAGGTCAATATATACTCAAAAGTCGGGAAAATCGGGACCTGTTAAAGCTTCTTAAGTGAGGCTGTTATAAGGTTTTGCGGGGGTGCTAATCACGAATTTCAAGTTAGTTTTGATCACAGATGATGTTTTCGTGCATCAGGTCACATGTTACGAGGGAACCAAAACTACTTCGTAAATGTTCAAACGGTTTCTAAATGCGAAATCAACTCCAAAACCTACCCTGGAAACATATAGGTAGAACTCGAAGCAGTGAACTAAGGTCATCAAAGGTCAGTGACCTGACTGACCTTCACGTGATCTTGACACCCACTAGAATCCATGGATCAACATCCTTTCCTTTCATATGTTTGATCGCTTAAAGCCACAAAAAGACAATAAACGCGCTCCTAATGTGAGCCGAAATACGCTAAATCGCGATTCCGACCAAACATGGTCTTGGAAAACAGGTCACAAGTCAAAGGTCTTTTGGGTTAGGGTCATAAAAATTTTAAGGATATGCGTAATATTGATTAACTCGAGGGCACTGAAAGTTTCGTCGAGAACAGCCGCTTTTTGCGCGAGTTGTTTGCGAAAAACTAAGAGTGGGGCGTCTGTTCGACACCCTCTTATAAGTGCGAAGGTTAAGGTCAGGCCGTTGACCAATGACGTTAAAAGTGAACCTCTGTAAGGTCCCAAAATGTCGCAACGTCGCAACACCCATCGTGCCAGGGGACCTTTCACTGGGTTATGAATCTTATATGATCTACACAGTAGGTACATACTATCTCCTAGAGGCCTCACAACTTGTATGTAGTTATCTCGTATTTTTCTTAAGAGTCACCTGAAGTCAGGTCGGTCACGCAACCTCACGATTATTAATCATTGGGGAAATATGAAAACTGTTATTTTGGCGCCGGGAGCCGTCTAAAGCTGTCTCAAGCGCATTAATTCGTGATATTATACAATCTTTGCGAGCCCCAGCATTTACTTTTGCATTCTTGATCTTAGGCGACTCCATTTATTACGTCACTAAGGTCACAGGAGTTTTCACCAAAAAAGTCCCGATCAAATTGAGCTAGCGAGTCGGGAAGCCACCAAAGGACTTGTGAGGACCTACCGAATCGAATAAGCGATATGACCACTTTGGGCCAGCTTCGTGGACTGAGTGGCTCTGCCCTGATCATTACCTGAGGTGAACAACAAGAACGCGACGAGACGCTTCAGATGAGTACTTAAACCCGCGCCCGGCTGGGGGTCCTGGATTTCCAAGCCCTGCTGGGGGTGTTTGAACACCCCCCCCCCTTCTAACTCGGCTCCTGGGCCATGTAGCGATACGCGGAAGGCGGCGTTCGAAAGAACGTAAAAAATAATGAGGAAATCACTTCGGTCAATTTTTTGGTCAGGTCAAAGGTCAGGTCACCAGAGGTCATTGAAGGCAAAATTTCGCCGATTTCCAGGTCGAATGTCGACAATTTCCAAGAAGCCAACGCATAACTCGGGAACCAATAGAGCTACAGCGCCGTGGAAAAGCGCATTCGATAGCCCTATTAACGCCCTTTCTGAATAATTTTCTCAGATTTGACCTAACGTCAATGGTTTTGCCTGCAGGGGGCAAAAACTGCAAAAAAAAAACGATTTTTTTTTCGGAAAGTTTTTCTGCAATAACTTTTGACCCAAGCCTTGTACGAGCTTACTTTTACCGGCATCGTGTTCCTCTTGTCAAGACGCATCGAATGAACTATAACTTGACCTTGAAAGGTCTACCAATCACCTATGAACTTAAATTTGGGTATCATGGGCTTCTTCTCGTCAAGGGCAACTCGCTCGTTTTTTTTCCGCAAAGCTCTAGCTTGATCAGGGGCCGAACGGCAGGGTGTGTCCGTCCAACCGCCCCCCCCCCCCCTACACACACATTAGCCGCTGGAAAACGCCGCACACAGTCGAGGGTGAATTAGTGATGTCAATTACGGAAAATCGGAATACCGATACCAAACCAAATACCAACCAAAACCACGGGGAAATATCGAAACCGAGCCAACTTGGCAAAATGATGGAAATACCAACTTTTTACCGATTTATTAGTCTCTTATACATTAGTGGGGGTTCACGATACCAACAAAATACCAAACACATTACGATTGAAATACCAAATACCAAGTTGGTATCGGTTTGGTATCGCTATACCAAAAAGTTGGTATCCGATTAACATCTCTAGGGTGAATGCCCCTTGGATGTCGAGAAACTGGTTAGCTGGCCTGCTGACTGCTGGCCCGACAGGCCTCAGCCGCTGACCGCTGACCTATGCGCCCGCCAGAGTCCACCTGCTGCCCGACCAGAGGCGCTATCTGCAGTCGCACCAGAAGAAGAACACCTGCAATCCGCGCTTCGATGAGGAGTTCTCGTTCATGGTGAGTTGACCCGCGCCCCGGTCCTGGATTTCACGCCCTACTGGGGGGGGGGGGGGCTGTTCCTGTCTAGCACGGCTCCTGGGCCACGTAGTGACATGCGGGAAGCTCTATTCGAAAGAACTTCAAAATAAGGACGAAAAGAGTGTCAGAGGCCACTTTTACCAACAGAAATATAGCCGCCTGACGCAATTTTTCTATCAAAAATCCGCCGACGAGTTTCACCAACCACGCGAAAAAAATATTCGCCGACGTGAAAAAATATCAGCCAGAAAAATAGCCAACGAGTTTCACCAACGGCAAATATTAATGGAGTGCTTATCTGCGCCATTATATGTATAAAAACAGCCTAGAAAAATAGACAGGCAGCCCCGTCTATTTTTTTTTTTTTGATGTCGTGTTGGAATAATCGGCCTCATTTGTTACTTATCATCGTGATTTGCGCTTCTCGATATAATAATTTAGTATCATTCATGGCCAATTTGTAAAGCATCTGGGCTTCAAGATTAGAAGAGGAATACTGATGATATTGCGTAAAGAAAGAGCCTTTGTCACCAGGCAGGTCCAAAAGGAACCAACAAGACGGGTGTTTGGTGTTGTGATGTTAGTTTTTTTATTTTATATTATCTATTTGCTACAAGCAGCACCCAACAGTAAGATGATAGTGTATTAACTAGTGGTCAGATTACAAGTTCATTGCTCGCACGGAAGTAGAAAATAATGATGGAAGGCCATTTCCGAAGGTGCTTGAAGAAATGCTGGAAGAAGAGACAGAAAGGCTCATTGGCTCATTGGACTCAATATTTTAACCCGGCAGTTGCTGGGGTATTTCGCCACCCACCGTTTGCTGGGGGGGGGGGGGGCGTTAAACGCCCCCAGCCGATAACTCGAGAACCAATAGGCGCAGCGAAACGCACGAGGCGGCAAACGAAAGAACGCGACGAGACGCTTCAGAAGAGTACTTCAAAGCTGAATTTTGAGGTCACAGGTCGGGTCAAGGTCAGGTCAAACACGTGAAATCGGGCTTTCAGTAGCATGGACTTCAGGACTTCGCAAAGGGCGTCTCTCGTCATAAACTCTGTCAAAACGGTGCACAATCCATCATATAAGGCCTACAAGAGTGTCAGCTCCATGTAGGGGTCAGTCAAGCATAGGTCAGGGTCAGGGTCAGGTCAACCGGGCAGGCACATATACCCGAAAATCAAAACTGATATTCGTAGCCTGTGACACATGTTTTAAGGGTAATTTGGGGCGTAGAACACGATGGTGACATTCATTTTATCATATGTGTACGTGTTTGGCTAAAAAATGTCAATTTAAGAAATGCATGTATCATAGTCGTGAAGAAGTCGCAAGAAATTGCCAAGATTCAGTTCAAGATTTTGGAAAATGCGGAACGATAATCAATAATCGAAGATAGCCATTTGATTGTACATGGTATTGGCAGTCTAATGGCGTTTACGGCATGTCTGTATGTCTATTCTGTGATTTTATATGATTTTTTGAACATATGCCGTTTTTGGTCGAAAACTCAGAAATCATGACGTCACTAAAACCTCGATAACTCAAAAATTTTCCGACCGATTTTTTGAAACTTGGTCACAATAAGCTTCAATCAATTCCCCACAGGTACCCAAAATTTGGCGCGCCTGCGGCGCGCCGTTTTTATGCTATGGCCCGGCGAAAAAGTGGGGGCGTTTAACGCCCCCCCCAGCAACTCGCGGGTTAAATAAATATGTCACTGTTTTCACATATTCATAATTCAGTCCTACATTTGACATTGCAAGGCACCAGCTACTAATACCAACTACTTTTTGGTGGAACTTGAGTTGTGCGGCAAGCAGGGAAGATGCATTGACATTGCTAAGGCCAAAATCGCAAGATTTTCAAGATAAATGATAATGAATATTTCAAATATTTTTTTGGATAGCATGAAAGAAAGGTATAAATACTTGCCTTCGAAACAAAAAGTGCAAAGCTTGGATGTTTGTGAACCCGGACAAACTTGCTGTCATAAGATTTTGCCACTGAACTCAGCAAGTCACACTGCCTTATTTTCTTTTCTTTCAATGGCCAACATTGAAGGAAAAGAAAATGATATTTATGTTGTAAAATGTAAATGAGTCCATAACTGTTGTGTGTGCAGTGTGCACTGTGCTGATATTAAATGCACATGTATCCTGCATGCATGAGTCATGCACATATGATAAAATGAATGTCACCATCGTGTTCTACGCCTGTCAACTGTCAAACTGTCAACTGTCAAACTGTCAAACTGTCAACTGTCAAAGTCATGACCTGTCATGACTTTGTCATGACCATTCATGACCATGTCATGACCATGAGTCATGACCAATCGATGACCTGGATTGACAGGAAAAAACATAACATAGGGGATCTGGCGCGCGGCCCGCCTCTGACCGCACGTCCCCGCCTCTGACTGCACGTCCCCGCCTCTGACGTCCCGTCTCCTTTGACCACACGTCCCCGCCTCTGACCGCACGTCCCCGCCTCTGACTGCACGTGCCCGCCTCTGATGCCAGTATGTGACTCCAGATTCCGCAGCGGCGGCTGTCGGAGCACAGCATCCGGATATCGGTGTACGACAGCCGCCGAAACAGGAAGCACGTGCCGCTGGGCATGGTGACACACAGCCTGCGCGCTGGCGTGCACCTCACCAACGCCGTCCGGGACATCAGGTGAGCCGCACCAACGCCGTCCGGGACATCAGGTGAGCCGCACCAACGCCGTCCGGGACATCAGGTGAGCCGCACCAACGCCGTCCGGGACATCAGGTGAGCCGCACCAACGCCGTCCGGGACATCAGGTTAGCCGCACCAACGCCGTCCGGGACATTAGGTGAGCCGCACCAACGCCATCCGCAACGTCAGCTCCGCTGGATCACCAGTCGTCACTCCATTACCGCTAGCTAGTCGATGCTGTGCATTTCAAATTGAGTTCTAATACATTGAGAAGGAATCTGCAGGTGTCCAGCTGGGGCACGAGGTCAGCTTTGCTAGGGATGTGATTATGACCTGTTCTAAGCGATGCTCCGCTACCATCGCTGACCTGAGAGCAGAGAATGTTGCGGTTCTCAACAACTCTCGAACTGGTGCCCAACCGGCGGCCGCCAAGAGGGCGGAGCGGCGTGCGAAGCGGGGCAGTCCGAATGCCACCTTCACCCATCCGGCTCGAAGGGCGTCCAGCCGGCCCTCCTCGGATGAATAGAGAGGAGCTGTGCTGCACCTGTACCCATACATCAGAGTACAGGGTGTCCCAAAAGTTCGTTCTCACATATTGTTTGCATGTAAACTGGAGTACATTGCGTTTTGCTATGTTTATGACCACTCAATGTGCTCCTCATTTGATGGGCAAACACATGGATACACGTTGCGGCATGTAGTGGCGTCGCCACCGATTTTCGACCCACCTCTAACTCAAAAACTAAGAGGGCTAGAAAGACGCGGTAAAAAGCAGTCGATAGCTCTCAATGCGTACGTTTGAAAGTATTTCGGTCATTTTTAATCTTGGAGCAATATTTGGGTCACTGGAGGTCATCAAAGGTCAAAATTTGCCAAAGGTCATTATATTTTTCAGAAAACATGCATTTATCTCAGCAACTATGATAGCTAGAAAAACGCTTGGAAAAGCAATCGATAGCTTTTGAACTCTTCGTTTGAAAAGATTATCATCAAAATTGACCTCAGGTCAACGGTTTAGCCTCCAGAGAGCAAAAATTCCAAAAATAGCTGTTTTTCGCAAAGTGTTTTTCGACAATAACTTTTGACTAGAAAAAGCCACGACATTTCTATTATCAGAATCGTGTTGCTCTCGACGAGACGCGTCGAATGAACTATTATTTGACCTTGAAAGGTCAACTTAAAAATTTGACCTCAGGTCAAGGTCATGACCTGACCGGAAAAGGTCATGTTGCATATCATTCGATGCGTCTCAACAAGACAAACACAATGAGGCCATCCCCAGCGTCCTATCTCTTTCCAATCGAGAGTTATTGGCAAAAATCTGTTTGTAGCCTCAAATGACCTCGGATGACCTTTCTAGAGGCTATCATCAAAAAAGACACCTTGGTCGTCACGGGTGGTCCAAATCATTGTGATTCTGAAATATTTGGACTGTTCCTATGCGTACACACGGATCTAGAGGCATTTTCATTTTTCTCCATTGACTTATAATGGTAAGGTCACGCCACTGACCTGACCTTAGGTCACGGATATAAAAAATCCGAGATATAAAAATTGTAGGCGCCCATAACAGCATGCAATCCACCAAGTTTAAAACCTTTCTGACAAACACTGCAGGCTGGACATGATAGCAAACTTTTTTTTAGGCCTGGTCAGTTAACTTGACCTGGTGACCTGACCTGACATGACCTGGGGTCAAATATTTCACACCTTGTCCAATATTGATGTACAAAAAACTATGATAAGCGGCGCGGCGCTACGCGCCGCGGTTTTTTATTTATACGCAAAAAACGCGACAGGGTGGTAACATACGTCCCCCCCCCCCCACTGGGGCGATATTTCATATTGTGACCCCCCCCGTGACCTGACCTCTGTGACCTGACCTGGTATCAGTGACCTCAAATAGCAAAATATGTGTTTGAAGAACATTTCGCCATCGATGATTTTCAATGAAATGCATTTTACTCGATTTTACAACGCATTTCTTGAAATGCCTATAAACGGTGAAAATTGGACCTTTGACCTGACCTGTGACGTCATCGGTTTGACCGAGGTCAATGAAATTGGGTCTCAAGGTAGTTCCCTGATGGGGCTATCCAACACCGTTTGCCGCTTGTCGCTAGGTTGCGTGGTTCTCGAGATCTTAGGGGGGAGGCCAAAATGCCCCCCCCAACAGGGCGCGTTGCTCGGCAGAGCCCAACGGGGCGCGGGTTAACCCGAGCCCGGCTGGGGGTCCTGGATTTCCACGCCCTGCTGGGGGGGGGGGGTGTTTGAACACCCCCCCTTCTAACTCGGCTCCTGGGCCACGTAGCGATACGCGGAAGGCGGCGTTCGAAAGAGCGTAAAAAATAATGACGAAATCACTTCGGTCAATTTTTTGGTCAGGTCAAAGGTCAGGTCACCAGAGGTCATTGAAGGCAAAATTTCGTCGATTTCCAGGTCGAATGTCGACAATTTCCAAGAAGCCAACGCATAACTCGGGAACCAATAGAGCTACGGCGCCGCGGAAAAGCGCATTCGATAGCCCTATTAACGGCCTTTCTGAGTAATCCTCTCAGATTTGACCTAACGTCAACGGTTTTGCCTGCAGGGGGCAAAAACTGCAAAAATAGCCGATTTTTTCGGAAACAGTTTTTCTGCAATAACTTTTGACCCAAGCCTTGTACGAGCTTACTTTTACCGGCATCGTGTTTCTCTCGTCAAGACGCATCGAATGAACTATAACTTGACCTTGAAAGGTCAACTTCAAAATTTGACCTCAGGTCAAGGTCATGACATGACCGGAAAGGGTCATGTTGCATATCAGTCGATCCGTATCGTCGAGCTGAACACATCTAAGGCGTTTTCATCGCTCTAGCATGCCTCTATCAAAAGTTATTTGCGAAAAACTGTTAGATACCATTCGTGACCTAAGATGACCTCAGGGCATAAACAGGGGTCACGGACACCATTTTCATGTTCAGTGTGTCTAAACCACTTGTAATTCAGTGTTTGGGAGTGTTTATAATGTCTTTCGTCCAAAAGAGGCGCATTTCAATTTTCTCCCATTGACTTATAATGGGGAGGTCGCAAAATTGACCTGACCTTAGGTCATCGATATCAAAATTCTGAGATATACATTTTGTACATGCTATTGCTCTTAGCAATCGCTGAAAGTTTCAAAGCGATCGGTCACTCGGTGTAGCTATGAGAGACATTGAAACTTTTTATGAGGTGAGGTCACTTCAAGTGACCTGGTGACCTGACCTTGAATGACCTTGGTCTGAAATTTTCACAACATGTGTAGATTTGATGTGTGACAAGGTGTACCAAAAACGGCGGCGCTCCGCGCCGCCGTTTTTGAGATATTCGCGAAAAACCACAAGGGGGGGGGGTGTTCAAACACCCCCCCCCCAGCAGGGCGCGGGTTAACATTAGTTTTGAGTTGAGATAGCCAAATTGGTGGCCATGGCCTGCAAATACCGGTTTGGGCACTCACAACATCGAAAAATGCTTTAATTCGGAGAAATGGAATTTCAATTCAAACTTGCAGTTTTCGGATTCTAAGGGGCTAATGCATTGGAATGCCCCCTTAGAATTTGTGACATCAGCGGAGATCTAACGATTTTAAATCTTTGACTAAAACGTTTGGTAGCACGCGGTGGTATACGCTGCTTTCCGCGCAACAAGTGCCGCACTTTCAAATGAAGTCGCTAGGAACAGCGGAGATGCCAAAAAGTAAACAAAAGTAAAGGTCTAATATCTTGAAAACCGGTGAATATTTTTCGATGAAATTTGGTAGATATTCGTTTTTGCTCTTTCTGAACCGAGCGACATCACTTTCATGCCAATTCATTGACTCTTTTGAAGGTGGCGGGGGGGGGGGGGGTCCGCTGCGTCACGTAATGACGCAAGCGCTCGTTTTTTTTTTTCGCGAGGCTCTAGCAGCTAGCTCAATTATAGGAGCTAAACATGGGGTCGGGGAATCACTCCATTCTCACTCACTATTTGGCCGGGATAGTGTTTGCAATTATTGTTAAAATCTAGCATTTTAAGATTTCAAATGCCCAAGTCTTTCAATTCAAGGTCATAACACCAGGTCACGTCAAGTGACCTTACCTCAAGGAAAATTCCTGTGCTCATCATATCTAAATACACCGACTAACCGATCACTTCAGAACTTTCAACGATTTTAATGGGCAACAGTATATGTACTTGAAACGTTTACTTTGCAAGTTTGACATTGTTGACAGAAAGGCCGGGTCAATTTTGAGATCGCTCAAGTCAATGGGAGAAAATTGAACTGCGCTTTTTTACGGGACGCATAATAAACACTCTGAAAACATGTGGTGCTTGATGAGATACAATACTGAATGAGAAAATTGTTTGTTTTGTTGGGGGCCATCTTTTTCGGTCTGAAAAGGCCCTTGCAGAGCTATGACATACATAACCATGCTCTGGTGTAATAATTGGGTTGTGCGAGCCAGCGACAGTGATCTGCGGAAGCGAGACTGTTCCCGTGGGACGACTGCCCTGTCGGGACGGTCCAGCCGTCTCCCAAACGGTCACCCGAAGAGGATGATGTGTCCTGGAATGGATCCGACATCAACTACAGGTTGGCTGGTGGGGTGACCTCCAGTCCAGAGAGGGAAGCATGAAGACTAGGGGCGATGCGGATTGGTTTTTCCTGAGGATAGCGAGGACGGAAGGAATCTAGCACCCTTGAACCTTCCTTATACTGAATGTATCTGAGGCTGTTAAATCTACTAAGCGTTTTTTCTCGACATCGTCAAGGTGTCATTAACAAAAAATATGAAATCCGGGAGGATAAATTATATATAGAAATTGTGGCCAACAGAACATTATCAGTTGCGTTCAACATACTCGTAAGCATGTTCACACACCCATCTTACATATGGGCCATGTAATAATTATTTTTGATAGACATGCTTAAGTTATGAAATCATCTGAAGTGTTTGTAAAGCTCCACGATACGAATCTAATATCCTGCTATGCAT